TATCTAACATGGATAACTCATTTCCATGTATCTGATATAGTGGAGAAAAGAAGAGCTGAAAGATAACCGTCCTCTCTGGGATTTTTGAGCTGAAGGCCTACTCAAAATGTTTAGTATCTAGATTTAGGCTTTGTAGCACTGCCACTTCCTCATATTTTTAAGTATACTTTTTAAATATATCTTTTGAAATATTGTACTGAAGAAAGAATATTGCATATTAAATGATAGAATGATAGAAATTTGATGACTGCAAAGAAAAATGACTTTTTGATCTATCCATGGTACTTTCATGCCTTAAGAATTGGAGTAAAAAGCAACTTCTCTTAAATAGCTTCAGTCCTCCTAATGTGGTTTACTAATTGACATGTAGTGAAGTAGCTTTTCTAAAATAAATACTCGAGTACTTTTCTAGTCTGTGAAGGTGTGTATTTGAGGCCTTTCAGCCAAGATTATGACCAGGAAACTAAGTCCTGAACTTCTCAAATGTATCCGCTTTTATCCGTGTGTTATCTATGGAACTTGTGCATTAGTCAAGTTGATTTACTTGTCATCTACAATTTAGGCAGAAGTTATATGCCTGATTTAGGCAAACTAAATCCCAGTCAATGCACCTTGGGGAACTGTTAAAATATTTTCACCTGGATCTGATGCCCTAGATGAAGACAAAATTAATCTTCTCATAATGGGCTAAGCGAAGATGCTGCATTTCTTTCAAGAGAATAACATCAAAGCTATAAAACTCAAGCATTTCCTCCTTTTTTTCTGTAAGGACTGTGTCATGCTTTTGAACATTAAACCATTTCATGTAGATTCACTGTTACTGACCTGTCTGTGCTGATAACAGAAATGTACTATATTGGGTGGGGTGCCTATAAGAATTTAGCCATTGATTTTAGACACTGTATGTGTCTGTTCATCATGCCAACTCAGTTGCTGGACTGGCTAAGTGCTGTGTCAGCAAGCTAATGCTCTCTTGCATGTCTGTAAATCTCCAGGTCTAAGTGTACTTGACTATTAGCTGGTGACCTTACAAAATCTTTACGTCTCTTAACTTCACAAGCAGTAGCATGGCTACCGAGACAGTGTTCTGGCAAGGGTAATAATAGCTCAAAACATGTGGAGGTTTAAAGCAAACATGTAAGTGCATTTGCCCAAATGCCTCCTGGGCCATGTGGATTTATGAAGCCTCACATTCAGCTGCAGTAACTAGTACATGATCAAGCACTGTCTGACTACTCTTTTGGTTTCCAAATATCTTTCCCCAAACCTTTCTTCCTTAATGAACAGTGACTGGTATGTACTATTTAAATAGACTTCAAGCTGGTGAAACAGAGGATATCATATCTCCTTACATGTCAAATAGGTTTTGTGGCATCTATTGGCAAAATCATTGCGCTTTTTTTTTTTTGGGGGGGGGGGGGGGGGGGGATTTATGCTGCTGTCATAGTCTAATACATTATAAAGGCAAAAAGGGAAAATGATTTACTGTCAGATTTTCAGTGGGCAGAGTAGTCTGTTAGAACTGCTGGGGGATTTTCTCTGCTGTTGATAGCAGCATGCATATGTGGGTGAATCCTATGCTCATCCTATACTCGTGGCTTGGCGCTCATCAAGCTGTCATTGCATACTGTTGTCAGTATAGGGAAGGCTTGTCTCTGGAAAGAACGCTACAGAATGGGAGTTTTGGTTATCAGAAGGTAGGAGAGGCTGATATGAAATAAAACCCAAGTCTTTGCTGTGTTACATTTATTTGTTTGCTTTAGCTAGAAGGACCCAAGCATAGAGAACAGCAACCACACATTTCACGAGACACATTTTAAAAGAATGTGATTCCACTAAAATAAAAAATGTGAGCATGGGTTTTTGGTGTACTGAGCTTCCATTTTAGCCGCTTGGCTCTGATTAAAGATTATTCAATTTACAAATTTTGCCCCTACAATTTACCATGACTGTAAGAGACTTAATGCTGACAGTAGACAGTTGAACATCAAAGTGACCCCGGTTGGCAATGGGAATGACATATTCTTAGAATAGTCTTCTGGAAAGCCTAAGCAAGCAAAAACAATAGATACAGTAATTCTTGCTGTTCAAAGCCTTGGTCCATGACAAACCACATGTAACATACATAAGAATAGGCAGAAATGGATGTTGACAGTTTGGAAGAGCATTGCAACTATTGTCCTCCGTATAAACATAGGGAGAAATTTTCAGAAGACTGAGGTCTTTTGTCAGGCTTGGACCAAGTCTTTGACAACTTCCATAATGTACCTGACCACTGGGCAAAGGTGTAGCACAGAGGTGTTGACACTGAAATGAAGAAATGAGAACATTTTTTACCAGCAGTTTGCCTCTGCAGCCTTCATAGCTGGCTGCCACATGCCAGCTGCCACTGGGCTGCATTTGAAGCGGTGCCTTCTTGGTTGATAGCTAGCCAAAAGTCTCAGCTGCTCAGACAAATGGTTCACTGCAAATCGATGAGGTTTTCTAGACACAAGCAGTTAATATTTCAATAGCCAACTGCAGATAAAATTGCTGTGTCAGATTTCATGGCAAAGAGAGCTGTTGCCCTTGTTCAGAAAATTGTGTGCCTGGAAAGTGTTCAGACCTTCCCATTTCAACCACCTGAAAATTTCTGCTTTCAGATCAACTTTGAAATGAGTATTTTGCCTGTATTTTTGGACATTATTTTTCTAGTTTTGAACATTCAAAGATGAACTGGTATGGTTTCTACCCCTTTGCAAACCTCAGAGGGGAGGTTATTGCTATGGACTTTGTTCTGTTTATATTAAAAGTCATTACTAAAATTCAGGTGTATCTAAGCAACTTCTTGCTGGATGCTCTGTTTACACAGGCCGTGTTCATGGCTGTCCGGGTGCATTTTATTTTTCCATTTGATCTACCAAGGAGAAGTGAGCCTTTTGCTGCACACAGTATTTGTCAGATTCCCAGAGTATGTGCCTTGAAACATGTTCAGTAGCAGTGAAAAGCATAGATGAAATTCTGTACACTAGTTTGATTCAACAAGCCATCTTTTTTAAAGAAATAACTTGATTCTGCTGTAAAAAGAAGCAAGCAGACAAACAAACCAACATTGCTGCAAAGCACAGCAGCTTCTTCTAAGCTCTATCTCAACCCATGTCTGCCATTTTTGCTCCCACTTTCCTAAGTGCATCTATGTCACCCAAAGGACATAGTCCTGGGCTTTTGGCCAGTATCCTGGGCTTGAATTCCCACACAGAAAAGCATTTACTTAGGAAAATAATATCATGTGACTGCCAGTAGGCACAATACTACCTCTAGTGCTACAATGCACTGACTCTAAATGAAGCTGTGGCAGACGGCCTAAGAAGTTTCAGTGCTTTCTTTTCCTAGATCAAGATTACTCAATTAATTTGTACTCTGGTGCATAGGGTTGTTTAACCAGGCTCTCGTTGGACGGGTGGGATGCACTGGTTCTAGCTTTGCTAGACCAAGCAAGGTCTGCAGGTGGGGAAGGCTGTGCACAACCTGGGCCAGCAGGCCCCTGATGAGGCCGGGAGAATGGAGAGGAACATGGGATCATCCCACAAGGTACAACATCTGCTAGAACCAGCAGAAATGTGCTCCCATTCAGACTGTGCCTCAGCCCACCATTTGAACAGCCCTGTGTTAGATTTATGTGGCATTTTACTTGATAAAATGCTCTTATGTGCACAATGCCTGAAGAACTAGTGTTATGTTACTGACATCCTCAGTTACGGTACTAGGTAGATAAGGAGGAAGGCCATCTGTTTCTCCAGTGTCTTCTTCCAGGTCAGAAACAGCTCTAGAGCTTTTGAGTCACATCCAGACATTACAGTCGTGTTACATGAGATTTTCAGCAGTGAAGCTGAGAATTCAGCCTCAAAGTGTGACAGATCTTTTTACCCATCTCTTGAATTACTACATGGAAAGCTTCTGTAAAATTTAAATGAGTTGACGGGAGAATAGAGAACAGACAGTGTCATGTTTGCACAGATGTAAGTTCCAGGCACAGCTGAAAGATCTGGAAGACGTCCAGAGCAGAACTGAAAGAAGAATAGAAGTGGGTTGTCCAGGAGGAACCTCAGGAGCAGGTAGACAGCAGCCTGGCAGACAGTGAGAAGGAAAACAAAAAACAGAAACAAAACAAAACAAAAAAACAAAAATAAGAAAACAAACAAAAAAAGTGATCCAGAAATTAGTGAAATACTTCAGAAGAAAGCAGCAATGAGTTTGGAAAAAGGAAGGAGTGTCTGGAGCACTGAGGGAAAAGCAGGAGAATCCAGCAGGAACCAGAAGAATGTGAAATAGAAATAATTCAATCAGTTGGATCTTTCTGTTGTTGCAATTGGAGAAATACATAAGTGAGCAAAAATTTTTTTTTTTTCAGAAAGTGGTGATGTATAGAGAGATTTGATGTAGCATAGTGGAAACATATGGGGAAGAATGGGAAAAAGTCAAGTATGGTATTGAGATACTGGAGTTTGGGACAGAGAGCAACAATCATTTTTGACAGAGTAATTGAGAAAGAAAAATGAGCAGCTCACTTTTTGCTTGGTTTATTAGAAGGAGGAACTTTGAAGTGTGGCCTAGTAAATAGAGTCCATTAAACCAGAATTAGGCCAGCTGCCTATTATTGGAATAGCTCAAGGAAAATGTCCTTGTCTGTTCTCTCACCACCTCTGGTTACTTGTTTTCACTCGGTTAAGAAAAGTCAGTGGAACTGCATTTAAAAGTGTTGTCACTTCACAGTCTGTCACAGGGTTTTTGCCAGCTCTCTTCAGAAGGAGCTGGTGCCTAGAACTGTGCCAGCTGGTTGGTGTGATCATCTTGTCACTTTACTAGAAAATCTAAATATACAGCAGTACAAACTGAAATATGTCTGCTGTCCTGTTTTGCAACTATTCTGCATTTTATTGAACCTTTTTTTTTTTTTCTTTTTTTTTTTCTTTTTTGCTTTAAAGCAGTACTGAAGCTCTCTCTATCTTTCTGTTCTATAGGTTGTCATTTTGTATTTTGAACCAAGTGTATTTCGCTGTGTTCTCCTAAGATGGGTTCGTCTTCTGGGCTTTGCTACAGTTTATGGAACTGTGACGCTCAAGCTGCACAGGTATTTCACATATTATTAATTTCCATCTCTGTGGGAGTATGTGCAATCTGTATGGATACTTAGATGGAAGAACTGCAAATAATATCATAAATAAGCGCCGTTTCTGATTTTTAAAACCACTGTGTATATCTCCATGTTATTTCTGCTGAAATTATATACTACTCATCCCAGTAGAGAACTATGAATGCAGACAGTGATGGTTGCACAGTGAGGTGGTTTCTCAGAAGTGTTGAGCTGGAGCTGCAGGATTTGATGAAGAATGTATACATCAGCTGTAAAACTGTGCAAGAACCACTTTTCAAAGGTGAATATATTCTACTTGAGTGTAGGATGAAGTAAAATGTCTAAGCTTTCCATATAAAGTGTTCATAGAGATATTTGATGTTCCTAAGTGAGCGATGCTGAGTGAAATAGAATACATTATGGTGTATGTATATACTCTGATTTCTTATGGCTTACAAGTCAAGGGCTGCTCTCTTCAGGCAATCACAGCAGACAGGCTCCACGCTCATAAGCATCAAGTGCCTGCCAGAAAAAATGTGTGGGAAATTCTGGGATACACTGGGGGAGGTTCCACTGGGTTGGCAAGGCATTCAAATGCAATTCAGAAATTAAGATTCAGAGACTTATCTTCAAATTCCATTTTTGCAGTCCCTTTAGAAAGTGAAGCTTTTGCTGGACAAAATCCTAATGCTTTTCTCCCTTTCAGCTTCAGTGGAAAAAAACTACTGAAACATTCTGTAAATATTTTTGTAATTATTTTTTACAGAAGAGAAATGCAGTATGCTTATGGTGATACTTAAACACCTTGGATGAAGTAAACTTGCTTCTCTTTTTATATTAGTTTCATTACAGAGTTGGCTTGTTAGATAAGGAAGATTTAATATTATACTTGTAAAATGAATGAGGACAGAAAATATCCAGTTCACCTTGCACAATTGGTTTGTCACATTTTAGGTGGAAAAACCCATTTTCCCATTGAAGTACAGCTTCTTCTTACGTTCGTGTCTGGTTGCAAGTATATACTTCGGCTGTTAAACTCTGGCTATATCTATGTCTGGCCTCATTGTCTCATTGAAATTCATGTGATGAACAATTTTTTATGCAAAAAGATTAACAATTAGAACACTATAGTAAAGATATGACAGAACTGGTGATTTTGTTTGGTTGACTCATTATCTGTAGTTCAGATATACAGCAAATGGCCTAAGACTGTGAAGGACTCCCATCATTATCACAGTTCTGCTATCCTAACAGGTTGTGTGTATGTTGTGAAGAAGCAGTGTCCTGACAGAGGAGTTGGTCTTCAGCTTGTATGAAGTGACAGTAGGCTGGAAAACTCAGCAGAAAATCTTACAATAGGCTGGAAAACTCAGCAGAAAATCTTGCATTTCTGGTTCTACTCATTCAGCTTTTTGGTGTTAGGTGGCACCTGTGATAACAGGCTCATCAAACAAGACAAAGATTGAGTAAGCCCAAGATCATCCTTGATCAGTGCACTACAATGAAGACTAACAGCTCTATGAGAGGAGCCCAGCCAGTAGGTTGAGGAAACTGATTATTCCCCTTTGCTTGGCATGCCTTAGACCATCTCCACAATACTGTTTCTAGTTTTGGACTCTTCCAAGGCATCATTGAACTCAAGTGAGTTTAGTTGAAGGGATGTCAAAATGATCAGGATTTGGAGCAAGGAGAAGCTGAAGGAGAGGAGAAAACTTTGAAGGGACATAAAAGCAGCTATTTAGCACCTACAAGTTGCTTACTGAGAAGATGGAACTGTGCTCTTTGCAATAATGTATGTTGGGATAAGAAAAGATGATTATAAATGGAAATGTTATCTTTCATCTTTATACAATATGAATTGTCATCTTTATGTCAGGAAAGCTTTTTTCACCATCAAGGTAATTAAGCCGCGGAACTTGTGCCAGTGAGGTTGCAAATCTTGATGCTCAGAGGTTTTAGGGCCCAGCTTGATGAAATGCTGAGTAACCAGGTTTGAATTCAGTGTCAACCCTGCTTTTAGCACTGGATGACCTTGCAAGACTATTTGTCTCAGATTGATTCTATATTTCTACACTAAATGCATATAAATGAAGTGAAATGAATGAAATAAATATTTCATGTATTAATCTAGAATTACTTTCTCTATGAATATATCTTTGTTTTCCCCTGCGGTTTCATGATCATTCTTTTCCTACATTCATGATATTGTGTGGTGGTTTTTTTTTAGTACTAAATGTTTCAGTCAGGGAGTGTGCCTTGCAGATGACCAAGTCATGTTAGATACATGTTTTATTGTATATATTTACAAGAATTATGCTAATTAAGAGGAATATGATAGTAGTAGAAATTTAGTAGAAATTTTTGGGAGATCTAGTTTAATCCAGTCATTGCAGGGCTGGAAAATGGCTAATTACAGACACCACAGATACTCATGACAAGCCCTGATTCCCTCCTGTGTCTGTAGCCTGTGTCTTGCCTGGGGGAAGAACTGGATGCTAGTAATGAACTGATGATTTTTCTGAGTTTAATGGAAATATCAATGTTGTGCAAAAGCAGTTATTAGTAATAACTAGAAAGTCTAAAGCTGTATTTCTCAACAAATGAGGTGCTTTGAATAGCAATGGAGCATGAAGGTTATCGAAAGCCAGGTAGGAGGCACTTGAAACTCTTGCTCTCTTTATGGCTTTCTTTTCCCTTTGCTCCCTTCTTTCTGAGGAAAGCTTTGAGGTTTTATTAGGTTCAGACATCAAGGAAAAATCAGAAAAATAACCAAGAGCAGATGCTTAAGCAAGAGTAAAAGAAGACGGGAGTCATGTACTGATTTATTCTTTAAACAACCATCACAGTCAATTTCTGAAGTGCCTCATCTCAAATTGCCTCCTTCTTATTCACTGTACATTTTTAAAATAATGAGCTGATGTTTACGGAGGTGGGAGGGTGGGGGTAAGGAAATGAGCTTAATTTAAGAAATCTAACTCTAGAGCAATGTACAGAAGTCTCAGTACTTTCCCCAACAATGAATTCCGCAAACTAATTCTTTCAAGAAATAATGATGTTTCAACTTTAACCATTTGGGTTTAAAAGAGCTGCTGATTTTGCATCTTTCAGTATATTTCTCTGACTGAAGACTCTCTTTGTCCCTTCTCAAGCCCTGCATTTTATGGTTTATCTTTTTAATATATAAGCTTCAACCATTTTGGTTTCAGGGTTAATGCAAAACCCTTAATTCTGGATTAACGCATAAGAATGGAAGAAAACTGTAGGTAAATACATACAGACATGCATGCACATATGTAATGTTCATGTGTACACACATATGACAACTTATGGACATTTTAGGGGAATGGTTGGTTACAGACTGTACATCTTTTAGGCTATCAGTTTCAAGGCTAGGAATGGGAGCTCCAGTTCAGGACAGCCTCCATTTCATATATTTAAGAAGATGTTGACTCTGTGAGACAATTCTGTAATGGATTTAAATGCTGTGATAAGATGACGTTGCTGGGTCTTGCTATCTGGCACAGTGACACTTCCAACCCATCTGAGCGAATGGTGACCCCTCCTACAGACCTTTGAAGGCATGAATGGATGGAGAGAGAAGAGTGTGGGTAGTGGGCAGCACTGCATATCAAGTGTCATGGTTCAGTGTCTTACAGAAGGGGAAGCTCATGTTAGCAGAGAAGCCAGAAAAGCTGTCAGTTTACTTCTTCTGAAGCATTTGGGAGGAGATTTGCATTGACAGTGAGAACAGTAAAGAAAAGGAGGAAGATGACATGTTGTAGCATCCTCTTGCAGTGAGGTGAGGGAAAGAATATACAGATGATCCCATCTAGGAGTGGTTGCTAAGAATATAGTGCAGAAAGGTACAGAAGGTACTGTGGCAGCTGGAATGTGTAGGCTTGTTTGCAGGGGAGGAAGAGGAGTGGTTTAACTGATTTATAGAGCTAGTTGTGCTGTAGGGACTTTCTATAACCATTCTAACCTCTTGTATTTCTCTTCACTGGAAAAGTGTATATGAGCAACTGAGAAACTTGGTCTTTGTTATATGCACCTCTCTGCATTTTGTAAATCCTAATATAGTAAACAGCTATCCTCCTTTATTATATTCCCATGAAATAAATTACAGCATCACCCGAGAAAGCCAAGCCACACATCAGTGTGAACTCCTCTTTAAAGACCAATCATCCTGCAACAAACTTCCTGGGATCACCATGAGTGTATGTTAGAGGATACATTCCATGGTACTTTGCTTCGAAACTTGCTGTAAGGCTCCCTCAGTCCCTGGAAGGAGAATTCATTTGCCTCTCTTTCTGAGTGATTTGTGGAACTGTCAGCAGATGAGTGATTTCCTGTTTCATCCTCCCAAAAATGGTCAGGCTGCAGCCTGGGTTAGATTTTACCCCAAGACTCATAAACTTTGAAATAATCCTGTCTTGGCTGAGATGTTTTTTTATAGGAATTGAGTTTGGATTAAGACAGTCAAATACTCTTGTTAGTTTTATGCAGTTACATAGTAAAGGTGTAATCTCAGTCTCCTTACTAACCTTAACTGCTAATAAGGCAAACAAAACTCAATGACTCCATATTTCTATACCTTCCATGCATCCTCTTAGGAAGCTTGCTGTGCCATTTGCCTGGTCTCATTCATTGTCGTGAGCAGCAGAAATGAGGGGTTGTGTGGTCAGACAGGAAGCCGCCATCAGTCATTCTTGCAGGGAGACACTGAGTGTTGAGGCTGGCACACAAATTGTGCATATCCCTGGAGGGAGGCAGATGGAGGCATTTTTCTGGAGAGGGGAGAGACACTTGGTCTGAAGCTTTGGATGAACAGAGTTCTTGTTATCATTCCCGCTTCAGGAAAAAGGGCAACAGGACTTGAAAATAACCATTGTGCACTGAGAAGATATTTGTTTTGTACTACCAATTTCTCTTCCAAAAGAAATTAACTCAAGAAACTTCCAAAATTTGCCAGTGCTTGGTAGAAGGACTTCTAGACA